CTGAAAGTTTATTGTTACTTAGAGAAAGGTCGAACAATAATCCCAAATTTCCCAAATTCTTTGGGATCTCCCCAACTAGATGATTTGAATAGAGGTCAAGTACTCGTAACTGAGTTGCACCTCTAAGCTCAGGCGGTATGTTTCCAAAGATTTTATTGTTAGAGAACTTTAGACCAGTCAAATTAAGGCACTCCCCCAATTTCTGTGAAAGCTCACCATAGAAGTCATTAAAACTTAGATCAATATATACCAAATTTGGGAGTACCCCGAAAACTTCTGATATATCCCCTGTGAATTGGTTTTGTTCAAGCCTAACTCGATGCAAGTAACTACAATTTCTCAAGCTTTTTGTGATATCACCTGTCAAGTTGTTATTTAGTGCAATTAGTCTTACAAGTGATCCACTAAGGCATATATTCTGTGGTAGATAACCTGTGAGATTGTTAATGGCTATATCAAAGATCTGCAAATGTGTAAGATTGTCCAATTCAGGAGATATGGAGCCAGTAAATTTGTTCTCAAAGAATCTCAGATCAACAAGGGAGATTAGCTTGCCTAGCTCACGAGGGATGAGCCAGAAAGTTGGTTCTCATAAAGATGTAGAATGGTTAAGTTGGCCAAGTTCCCTATTGAAGTAGGGATTGATCTAGAAAGTTGGTTTTCAAAAAAAGAAAGAAGGGTTAAGTTATCTAAGTTCCCTATAGTAGTGGGGATTGAACCAGTGAGATTATTTGCTGGCAAATCAAGTTCAATGAGAGATCTTGACATCCCAAAAAGAGTTCGGTGAGAGAACCAAGCAATCCTATTTCAGATGGAATTGTTCCTGAAAGATGATCGTTGGACAAGCTAAGGTAAGTGACTCTCATGAGGCTACCAATCTGGGAGGGGATGGTCCCATAGATTGAGTTGTTATAAAGTTCAAGACTGAGGAGGTGAGGTAAGGAAGATAAGTTAAGTTTGGAAAGTGTACCTCTCAAACCCTAACTCTTATGTTGTGTTTGGTTGGAGGATTTGAGGAGAGATTTGGAAAGGAAAAGGGAAAAGGTGTGTGAAACTATGTGAAATATAGGCATGATTTATTCACATTTTACCTACCTTTTCCATTTTCATTTCCAAATCTCTCCCCAAATCCCCCAACCAAACACAGCATTAAGGTCTATATATAGGTGACTCTACCAGCTTGGTTGCATCCAATTCCAACCCAACTGCATTGACTGCTTTCATTCCAAGGTGACAAGAGAGATTGACTCTGGTTGTCGAGGCTTGTTTTCCACGTCAAGAGAGCCATTGCTTCAATTCCTTCTTCTCCAACTTTTTTTGTCATTGCAAAAGAAGCATTAGCAGTAGAATCAGAAGAAGAGATGATGACAAAAGCAAACAGGACTTGGAAAGCAATGAACTGGTTGTAAAGCCTCTTTGCTAACAATGTCATTGTTGGTTTGCTACTAGAAGCTATGAGGAACAGTTGTTAGAGGGATGAAGAGCATGAAGTTCTTTGAATGCATAGAGAGGTATTTATAGATTGAAAATGCAATACATAATTAGATACTGACCTCCGATCAAGAAAAAAATTAGATACAGTTGGTCGCTAAAGAGCTATTTTTTGCCGACTAAAAAAATTTTAGTCGCCAATACCTCCGGCGACCATATATACACGACAAAAGGGCGATTAAAAAAATTAGTCGCTGAAAGTAAAAACTCGACTTTCGGCGACTAAAAACGGACTTTTGGCGACTAAAAATTTAATCGTCAAAAATACTTTTTCTTATAGTGAATATTTAACTGACATTTGATTTGCATAGTACTTTTTCTTCTTCTTCTTTTGAATTACTCTCACTATCATTTTTGTTTCTTTTCTTGTTCCTTTCCTTTTCCACTAGTTTGACAAAATCTTCTGTTCATTGTTTTTTATTTTATTTTATTTGGTACATTGATTGCACAACAAAGTGATCATCCCTTTTAAAAAAAATTTGCCACCTGCTATTATGGACTCTTACTACACACCAATTGCAAAGACTATATGTTTTCCAATAAAATAATAATGCTAGAATAGATGTGGTTGACCATAAGCTAAAGGAATGGTTGGGCCTCCAAACTTTTTACTAACTCCTCCAGTTCTCACCATTGATCTGCCATAGAGGGGAATGACATAGTAATTAGATCATCACTAATTCTATATGCTTTTATTTAGAAAATATTGTGTGGTCTAAACCCCAGGGGGATTGGCCTAGTGGCAAGGTCATGGATCTCAGGATGTGCTCCTTTTAAGATTTAGGGATTGAAAACTCTTAGATGCTAACAATTAACAATTTCTTAGAACTATCAGACTGGGGAAAAACTCTTGAATTAACCGTGGTATACTTGCGGGAAACTCCTTACTGAGGGCGTATGCATCTTGGGGATTAATCGAGTTTTGATCCGGACACTTTGGTGCCAATAAAAAAGTGTTACCCAAAAGACAACCTTAGAGGGGGTGAATTAGGTTTTTACAATTAAAATTAATAATACCCTAATAAAAATTATAACTAGCACAATAGATAAATATAACTAATGAAATAAAAATAATTAAAACAAGTGTCTTAACAACTATGTCGGTTAGTGATTTTAGCACAGTAAAAATGTGAAATATAACTATGGCAATTTAAAATAAAATAAAGAGATAAGGGAGAGAAAGGCAAACAAATTTATAGTGGTTCGGTTTCGACTCGGCCTACGTCCACTCCTCAAGCTTCACTTGAGATTTTCTACTATCTTCTAGCTTCACAGGGGTGCTAGCAACCTCTTTACAAATGGAGCAATCCTTCACGGATTTTACATAGACTTCACAAGAACAAACCCTTGCAAATCTTAGGTGATTCACAATCACTCTCAAGATTTTAAGAACACAGTGTCTGCAACACTTTTACGAGATGAAATGGTATTTTTGCTTTCAAATAAAACTTACAATAAATATCTCTCCCAGATGGATATACAAAATGAAGTTTTGATTTTTTTGTAAATAGATGTGAGTGATTACAGATCAAAGAATATTTTCAGGTTTTTTGTAACTTATTTACATTAGAGGCTATGGTATATATAATGAAAATTATAGTCATTTATAGCCGTTGTATTCATTTGAATTTATAGCCGTTTATAGCCGTTGTAGTCCATCATTACTAATTTGAATATCTTCCACTCCATCATTACAAATTTGTATTCATTTGAATTTATAGCCGTTTATAACCGTTGTACTTCAATCATTAGCAATTTGAATATCTTTTACTCCATCATTACAAATTTGAATATCTTCCACTTAAAGCTTTTGAACTGCTGTTGTGCTGGGCTGTTTGAACCTCTGTTTTTGGGCTGTTTGAACTCCTAATTTAATCAAATATTAAATACATTCTAACAACATTTAGGATAAAGGTTTAGGTGAGAAATAATTGAACAAAATAAATTTTGATTCAAATTTTCTTTTTCAAATAAATTAAAAAAATAAATTTTGATTCTATTTTTCTCTTTCAAATAAATCATCAAAATATTTTGATTCTATTTTTCTCTTCAAAATAAATTAAAACATAATTAAATAAATTATCAAAATAAATAAGTCTAACAAAAAGAAAATTAAAAAAAAAAAAGAAAAAGAAAATAACGTGTGGTCTGTACTAATTTAAAGTCTCAGCAGTGCTGGGATCCCCAGTGGGTGACCCCCGGCACCCCCAACTCCATATTCTAAAATCAATACTTTCAAGGATAAATTACACTGACACCCTAAGGTTTCTATTTAATATAAATCTTTCTCTTACATTTGAAAAATTATATTTCCTTTTCAAAGATTTGTAATCTCATTATAAATTACTTCATGACTTGCTGATGTCATGCCCTAAAACTTTTTAAATGACCATCTTGTCCTTTTTCCTACCATTTCTTCTTACTAACATCATAACAACATACTTTTTATCATTAAATTCTACCTGAACATATTATTATTGAGAATGATATACAAACATAAATTTTATATAGAATTTTCAAACGCAATGATATAACTTAATAGTAACCTTTGTTTTTTTCACAAATTTTTTTATTTTTAGGTATGTTTGTGTTAAGTATGTCCAAAAAGTAAAAAAATTGCTTACAATATTAAAAAAAATTAGTAAAAATAAAAAAAATACAAAAATTAAAAAAACTCAATTCTTCCTATGAGTTAAACCAATAAAAATGATTGCTATTTTCCCTGAAATGACATTGACAAAATATACAAAATATTCATGTTATTTTATTATTTTATATGTATAAATGAAAAAAAAAATCTATATTAAACAGAAACATAATGGATGTCGGTGTAATTTACCCTACTTTCATGTTAACTTTTCAAACTTTAAAAATAAAAAATTCAAAAATGCTAATCATTTTCATTAAAAAAATCAAAAAAGATAGCGCATTGACAAAAATCCCAAAAATAAATTTTTTTTTTAGATATTCCAAATAAAAAATTTCAATGTCAATTTCATTTTTTCTATTTCCAATGCATAAATGTTTTCTTAAATTTCCTCAGTTGTCAGTAGTTCCCTTATACAATACTAGACAGTGCCTCAATGCTAATTAATTACCCTACGGTCATGTTTGTTTGAACGGACTGGATTAACATTCCCATGACTAATAGTCCTAGGACTACGAATCCGTTAGATTATGTATCCTATCTTAACTAATAATCAAGTTTAAAATAATTAGTCCTACCAAACATCAGATTAATAATTTTATTAGACTATTAGTCTAATCCCAAACTCATGTCCACCCAAACAAACATGACCTACGTATGCACGTAAACTATACATACATGGTAGACGTGCATCCATATGTCCAAGTGCAGGGAAAGCCATGCATGTGCCCGGGCCTGCTAGAGGATTTTACGATGACTGCAACCAAGATTTTAGTTTATAGAAAACAGGCAGAAATTTTTCTATAATTCATTAACAACAAACTAGCAAATCAGCAATCATGGATTCACACATCAAAGGGAATGCAGATGAAACCACACCAGACTAACAAAATCCAAATAAAATTAAGAACCAAAATCCAAAATTTTGCAGTTCAATCTCTGATAAAACACTACTAGCATAGAAGCTGTTCAAGTCCTCAGCACTTCAGACACCTGAATATAATATAAAAAAGTAACTTTGATGGAAAATTCCCCAAAGAACATAACATGCTCACCTAACTTGCACCAAAAACTCAAAATTTGAATGAATTGCATTATTAAGCCTTCACACGTCCATAGAACTTCTGCTTTTCTTCTACAGTCTGGAAGCGTCCATGTCCAAACTTGGAAGATGTGTCGATGAACTTGAGCTTGATCTCCTCGAGGGCCAAACGGGACGTCTGAGCGAGCAGAGTCTGACGAAGCGTAACAACCCTCTTCTTCGGGCCAACACAGCATCCCTTGATCATCAGATAATCATCCTTAACCACACCATAGTGAGGGAAGCCACCCATGGGAGTAATGTCTTTCTCAGTCCTGATTCACATGTGCACAGATAAAATGAGTATATTCAATATTAATTGGAAAACAAAAACAAAACCAAAATCAGAGCAGATTAAAGGAACTGAAACAAACACAACAAACAAAAAGCAGCAGTCAGCATCCTCCAAAACTTATGAGCATTACCAGACATTAAACCCAGAATTCCCTTCAAGTACCTGTTACAAACTCACAAATACCATCTTTTGCTTCCAATGTAAATAAAAAGATAAAATTATCTAGACATATAACTGACCTGTCGAACTCGGTGACGGCAGTGTGGGACTCCTGCCCAGACTTTCCAAGCTTGTAGATCTTCTTGTTCATTTCAGTTCGGTGGTGATATCCATTCTGACCAGCCCTGGCAACAGTGAATGAAACTCGGGCAGGGTGCCAGGCACCAATACATGCCACTTTCCGCAGACCCCTGTGAGTCTTGCGAGGAAGACGAGTAACACCCCAACGAGTGACAACACCTTCATAACCTTTACCCTTTGTCACACCTATAATGTCAATCATCTCGTCTTTCTGGAAAACAGCATCCACAGGAACTTGTTTCTCAAAGAAGCCATAAGCATAATCCACTTTCTGAGCAATAGTCCCACCATTGACCTGGATCTCCATCAGATGTGCCTTCTTCTGCTTCAGTCCCTTCATTTTCCTTATCTGTAACACATATTTAACTATGTTATAATTGAACGCTGGTGTGCCAGATTGAAAAAGCTATAGATATAGTAAGGGGCAAAAAAAGTAATGTCCGACAGATATCTAAGCACGATATGAGAATCCAGGTTGAACATCAATCAGAAACTTTAAAGAGAGAAAATAAATAAATAAATAGCCCAAACAGAACATAGTTCCTGCCCTTCTTTAAAACTTTGCATGGTTATAACTGCTTAAAAATCTTCTGTAAATTGTCTAAATTGAATGATTAAAAATCCTTATGGTTGGTTGAAAATGAAAAGACCTAAATGCCACACCTTACATTAGTATCCCAAAAATCACGAGATTAGACCAAAAAACTATGCAAGTAGTAAATATGCCATTTTTATTTCTTTATGATTGCAAAGCCAACAGAACACCCATTAACCTGTAAGATTATCCCCTAGCTTTGTTACAACAAAAGCTACACAGAACTGTCATTAAGCCACACAGGACCGTCATTTTGCAACAGGAATAACAGAGGGGGAAAAAAATCAGAGAAATGAAGTACGTGAGTTTAGTAGTCTAAGTTGGGTGGAATAGCATGGTACAAAACTGAATGTTAATAATTTTAATACCTGGGTGTGAGCCAAAACCCGGATAACAGATGCATATTTTTTCATCTTCTCTAGCTGTGCTTGGATATCTTTCTTCCCTTCATTAGTCTCATACTTCTTTGAGTATTTCACAAAAGCCTTCTTCTTGGACTTGCACCAGTTCTTGTAGAATCTCCTTTTCACCTCCTCACTCAGATGCTGAGCCCATACAGTGTTCAATGAACGGAGACCACGTGGTGTCTTCACATAAGCGACCACACCAACAATGACCATCGGAGGAGTCTCAATAACTGTTACAGCCTCGCATGTCTCCTTCTTGTGCAGCTCTAAAGGAACAAATATAATTAGAATTGCCTTTTATAGAGGAAAAAATTCTCAGCAACTCTAATAGCAATACAATATGTTATAGAGTAAGCAATAGACGAATAGAACCATTTGACTTCAATAATTAGACTCATAACAATCTTACTCTAGAACAGTGACCAGTAATTGAAAAAACACAAAACAAGGTCACCCAACTCAAATTTTTAATATACAAAGTGTTTGGCCAACACCAAGTCCCTCGTCCAAATCCTCCAAGCCCCAAAATATAAAAGACCATCAAATTTTTAGAGAAGAATAAATTCTAGCAAAATGAATTGCAATTATAAGCCACAGGAATCATCTTTTAAATCAAATGCCATACAAAATTATTCTTCATGTACACCAAAATATATCATGCAGAAAGTTCCTTACTTGATCCAGGTTTGTCAACCTCTCTCACAATGTGGGTCATGCCAGACTTGTAACCAAGAAAAGCAGTAAGCTTGCAAGGTTTGTTAGGATCATCCTTGGGGAAAGCCTTCACTGCATAAATACAGGACAACACAACCACATTAGATTCACAAAATTTTACACTCAAACAAATGTAATGCCATGAATATTTAACCATTGGATGGACACCAATTAGCAAATGAAAAACTATGCACTTGTTACAAAACTTAGTAGAAAACTCAAGAAAACAGTAATCCTCAGAGAGTATTTTATGAACAAAAACAGAAACTACAGCATTTTAGGAGAAAATATTGACTCAAACAAATTAAAAAGTTAATCAAGTTGTCGCTAACCCAAAAGGTTATATACAAGAAAAAACGTTCTGTTTTCTTTAGAGCCGCAATGAAAAAAAATAAAATAAATTTATTCAGGCATGTTTGTAAAGGAAAAAAAAACAAATAACCATACCCACCAGAAATTTTATGCTAAATCTCATGAACTTAGTAATCCTTGAAAAGCATGCTATGAACAATAAAAGAAACTACCACATTTTAAGGGAATGATGGCAATCCAAACCTTGTGCCAGTGTCAATGTTAAATTCTCACATCACTTGGCTATATCTCAAAAAAGTATCGAAAATTAAACCTTTTTGTTAATTTCATAACTAAAGAAACCAAGTATACCTTTTCCCCTGTGACGAGCAGCACGCTTCCTTGGGAGAAATCCAAGAGACCCATGCCGGGGATGCTCAAACTTCCTGTGAGACATCTTCTCTTCCTTCACAAATAAATGGTTAAAGTTGTTATCGAAAAATAAACATTGAAAATCCTTGCAATCTACTACTTTGTAATCCTTGCTCTAAATTAATTGTCCAAAACTTCCAATCGAACATGAGCATAATCAACTAGGAACATGGAGATATAACTGCACATACAAGAATCACCCGAAGCGTTTGTGACAATGATTATGTATACATACATGTATAAACTTGCTATGAAATATAACTCGAAAGAGATTATACAAATCAAGACATTCTCAGACGTGATTTTTCATTTAAAGAATGAAAAAACTTGAAATCCATTTGTTATATGAGTTCTGCAGAAATGAGAATATGTGACTTTGAATTAAGAGACATATATGTGCATAGAAATGTTACAGATAACATTAACAACCAAAAATTGTTTTGGAATTGATGAATGTATACGGATCCGTCTGGTTTCAAACGAATCAGCACCGCATCATCATCGTATCAATCGGTAACTAGACAGAAATTATATAAATCGTGGTTCAATCTTACAATCGAAATCAAAATTCAAACGACATTATCAGCTCAAATCATACGTACAGATTCATTGATAGCAGAAGAAAGACATACAAGAGAAAGAGAGAGAGAACCTGAGCTCCTCAAGCGGCTACTGAGACACGCCTTCCAGTGGAACTTGCAAAAACCCTAGTTCCTTCCTCTTTATAATAGCGGGCTTTGCAAATTTACCCTTATAGTTTCTTCAAATTATAGATTCCCCCACCCCCCCTATATATACAAAATTATTTTACACATCGATGCATGTTTGATAAAATTGAAAATTAAAAATTATATACTTAAAATTGAATGTTAAATTTTAAGTGATGGACTAAAATGATTTTTAAATTTTAAGTGATAAACTAAAATAAATTATTTTCATTCAGAAAAAATTAAAATAAATTATTTGGCATATATAATTAAATTTGAATTTTTTTATTTTTAAATTGTATATTATATAATTTTTATATTTTGATAGTAAGGCACTATTTAGTATCCCTACAAAAGTGCAGTTTTTATCTTTTTATCTTTTTTTAAATTATATTATTTTTTAATTTTTTTACATATCTTTTCATAAAAATTTAAAAAATATATTTATTTAAATCATCTCAAAGACCCCCTAAGTTTATAGTGATGAAGGGGGGAGTGATGATACTAGTCATAGCACCAATGGCAATAGTAGTGGAAAATTGAGTAATAGTTATCGTGGTAATATGGAAAGGTAATACTATAGAGATAAAAATATAATAAATAAATAAAAGAAAGATTGTAGTGCTGAGGGATTGTTTGGGATGATCTAAATGAGTGTACTTTTTGACTTTTTATGAAATATGAGTTGGGTTTGAAGTGATATGATAAAAAGGTGATGTGACTTAAATAAGATGGTGTGACTTTAAATAGAATAGTGACTTTTTGACTTTTTGATTTTTTTAGGTTATGACAAATAAGACCTAAATGATGGAGGTGAATGTGGGGATAGTAGTAATGATAGTATGAATGGCATGGTGATAATAGTGGTGCAGTAGCAATGGCGATAATGGTAATAATGGTTATGGCGCTGGATGTAGTAAGTTTATAATAACGTATGTTAACATTTATGTTTATTATTTATAAATTTAGTCAGAATTAAATAAGTTTATATCATTTTTCTTTTAGACTTTTAGTGTATATTATAAACACTTAATTTTTAAATGATATCTGTACGGAGAGCAAATATTCTGGCAAGCCCGTACTCTTTTCTTCCAAGCTCCTATCTGTCCGATCGACCTGCGAACACAACGACGGTGAGCTACCCGGCGGTGTGTGATCGAAAAACCCTTCCGACGATCAAGTTAGACACACGCAGGGATAGAGAGAGAGAGGATTGAGTGTTTAGTGTAAGTCTCACCAAATGTTTATCTGCCTCGGTATGGGGGGCACAGACTCGCTTATATACCTTATATGCCCCAAATCTACTCTCATTAGTCTCTCGACACGTAGTGCTGCTATCCCATCTGTCAGCGCAAATCTAGCTAAACATCACCTAACCAAACTGCTAGCCCACACTACTGGGAGCTCGGCAGCCGGGCTGCAGCATCTCGGCTGCCAAAGGCTGTGCTGTATTGCTAGCCAGAACGCTCTGCTCGCCAAGCTCAATGACGACCGAGCTCGGTTGCATTCCGGCATAGCCGAGCTCGGGACAGCTCATGTCAGTTAGCCATTGGCCTTCCTGCCGGGCTAACCCACGAACCGTGGAACCCAGTGAAGCAGCGGACATATCGGTCGAACCATCACTCGACCGGTTTCTGCACCCTAAAGCCAAGTAGCTCGGTCCAACTATGCCTTGCCTTAGCCGAGTAAAACCTTTCTGGACAGGCCCATGCTACCACGGCCCAACTGTGTTCGGCTCAAATCTGTCCGGCCATTACCACGGCCCAATCCAAATCATAAATATCCCTCTCAATTGCCCATTAATCCCGTCCGCGCAAGCGTGACTGGGATTACCTATTCTATCCGGGATAACTCTTCCTCGGTTCACAGTCTGCTAGACGGTGACCGGGCTAGTTGACATACATGTCTTCAAACTTGCCCGGTCGACGCCTCGACTTGCCATCCTGTCTCTTCAGTACTGACACCGCCGTCAATAAGGACACGTGTCGCTCGCCCAATTGGCCTCGAGTAGCCAACCATTACGTCCTTTCACATTCAAATTTTTTGCGGTTCTTCACCCCTACAAACACGCCATATCCCCCTTCATTTCACTTTTACTGACTCCCCTTCATCCTTCGGCGTTCCAGAGCTCCGACCTCCATTCTTGTTCCTCTTCTCCATTCGTGCGTAAAGACTCAGATTCAACCCCCTTCCTAGTAAGTCCTTTGAGCACTTTATTGCTATTTCATTTGATATTTCACACATTAGGGCACAAAATCCGTAAGTTTTAGGACATAACCCTCCCAAAACCTACACTTGTCCCTGTTCTCTTCGTTGTTCTTTAATCCCAGTGATGAACACATGAACACACGAAGAACTGGAGCGGACCGGGCTCCAGGTCGCCTTTTGATCCAAAAAACAATTAGACCGAGCAATTTATAAGTTTGCCAAAACCTTAGTAGAAACCGAGGTAGACAGAGGACTTGGCCGCTCGACCGGGCTAACAACTGGTCTGCTTGAACGACTGAGCTCCTTAGTTTGCCTTCGCGACTGAGGTGGTCTGGCACTCTTCATGACCGAGCTAAAGTCAAGCTCGTTTTGCGCGACCGCGCTTCCACTTACACTTGCCATCATTTTCTTGCAGAGTCCAAGGGGACCACTGACTAATTACCGAGGCTCTCAAAGACCGAGCAGCCATTAAATGTCAATCTGTGCCAAACCACCTCAGCCGGCTATACATGGGGCGCTTCCGTTTCCTTGTTGACACTCCGGCCGCCTTGGCCGTATTCCGGGAAGAGTACGGTATCCCAGCCGACATCCATCTAGAGCTCGGCGAAATTGAGACAATCCCTTGGGACAGATTAAACTAGTGCCCCTTCACCGTGCTATCCATCATTAAAGGAGGCCTCCGCTTCCCTGTCAACCCACTGATGACCGAATTCTTGCGCCGCACCGGGCTAGCACCCACTCAAGTCTCGACCAACACTTACCAAATAATTAACGGAGTCCACGAGTTAACATAACCGGCTAGGAACCAACTTAGGTTTAGCCGAGATACTCCGTCAATACACCCTTGGGCACACGGGCGACGGCCTTGCCTATTACTTAAAAATTCAACCGGGCAAAGAAAAAATAGTGATCGGCACCCCAGACAAGGACTTACACGACGACGACTTTTTCTGGGTGTCTGGCAACTATGAAACGGCCGACGTACCGGGCTGGTTTATTAGCAAGAACTTCAGCGAGACATGTAAGTTATGCTAACTGCTCAGTCAATTTATCTTTCTTCACCATTCTGTACTTGACACTTTTCTTCTTTCCTATGCAGCGATCCAAGCCTTGCAAGCCAACTACTACTCCCCCAACGAAGCAGCCATTAGGACCGTGCTCCGTTACCGCAACCGGGATTGTAACGAGCTCCTCGGCTACACTCTAACATACCGGTACTCAGCTCCACGCCGGAGTAAGGTCACAGACTTTCTCTGTGCTCCATCACCTCCTCCAGATCCCACACTGCCAGATGTCCCCTTCATCCGTTTAACCGAGGCAGAAGAAAAGGCAAAGAGAACCCGTATCAAGAACCTACTCACAGTAACCTCCACCGAGATACCGAGCATATCAACCTATTCTCCTGCTGCCGGTCAATCCAACGGGGCCGTGGTGGCGTTGGCATCTCCCGTCGCGGGCAAGCAAGCCAAGACATCCACCGCACTGGGAAAAGGCCTCGTGCAGACCCATCTGCCGAACTGGTTGTGGAGCTCAATACCAAGCAACCTGCCGTCACGGTCGACCCAACACCTGCGTTGGAAACCGCAGCTCAAACACCGCGGCAAGGAGATCCCGGCAACAGCTTCTGTCAAAGGCGACAAAGAGCATCTCCTCACCTTTGACCTCACCAAAGTGCTTCTGCTACCGAGCAACGTGGTTGGCAGTGACCATATGCCAGACACCCGGTTGGTGAAGTCGTCGGTCAAATCCATGACCAGGGTAAGAATCTCAAACTTCCCTAAAAAATTCTCAAGTGTTTGTTCGGTTTCCTTTCTAACCAAACTTTCTTCTTGTAGGCCATCCAGAAGTAGCACTTGGTCATGGAGCGCATTCACCGACTCCGGCAGAAGGCCAATGATTCTGCCAGCTAGGTTACAAGCCTCCAAACCGAGCTCGGGCGGTCCAAGGCTTCTCTGCAAATCGCAAATGCGAACAACAACAAATTGGTCGGCCAGCTTGGTGCCGTCGAGCAAGAAATGGATGCAATAAAAGCTGAGCTGGAGGCCTTGAAACAGTTAAGGGAGAAGGATCTAGAGGGCGCCAATAATGCCGGCTTCAAGGAGGCCGAGGAGAGCTACACAAAGCAGGTTCATGCCACCCAAGATATCTACTTCAAGGCGGGTTGGAAGACTGCTTGTGAACAGCTCGGCCAAGGACATGGGACCAACATATTTGCCTCTCCTCCAGCTGTCTTCTTGCCGACTTATCTTGTGCCATACGCCAACGATATCTTCAGTGCATTGCAGGCTAAGGCCGAGGAAGGAGGAAAAGAAGAAACCGAGGATAATGCTCAACAAGAGAACCATCCAGAGCAGCCCGACGCCCAAGACCCAACAGCACTAATCAACCTGGAGCCAACCGGGGACAAATTCACTGACCTTTCTCCCCTAGTTTAGTTTTCTTTGTTATCTTTTGCCTGATGCCCCACCTTTTGTACTTATTTTTCTCATCAATGAAAAAACTCAATTTCCTTCAAGTGTTTGTACGGTCTTCAAGCGAAATAGCTTCAACCGAAAAAAATACCTCGGCAAGACTATCCAGCTTGAGTAACCACAGTAAAACATCGCGGTTAAAGTCTCACGAAATTGAATAAATCATCAACTCCTTTGACCGAAATAAAACATCTCGGTTTTAATTGCAAAGTTTAGCAAATCATCCACTCCTTCAACCGGAGTAAAACATCTCGGTTGGAAATCTCACGAAGTTGAATAGATCGTCAACTTAGTAAAATATCTCGGTTTTAAACCAAAAGTTGAGCAAAT